CGCCAATTAAGACCACATAAACAAAATTACCCCACTCATGATTTGGAACTGGCAGCGGTAATATTTACTCTGAAAATATGGAGATGTTATCTCTATGGAGCAAAGTTTCAGGTTTTTGCTTACCATAAAAGTCTGAAGTACTTGTTCACTCATAAAGACTTAAATCTTAGGCAAAGGAGATGGGTGGAGTATATGGAAGATTACGACTTCACTCTGCAATATCATCCTGGAAAAGCTAATGTGGTGGCTGATGCCCTTAGCAGGAAGACGACAGGGACTCTAGCGTCATTAGCTTTGGAAGATTGGAAAAGGACTGAAGTGGTGAGTGAGTATGATCTTCAGTTCTACGAAGATCATAACCAGGCTATGGTGTATATTTTGATCTCTATACCGGATATTGTACAACAGGTTAAGCAGAATCAATAATAGGATCCACACCTCCAAGGAATTTGGATTCGGAGCCAGAATATAGTGCAATTCGAGGATTGGAGAATCCGAGAGGATGGAGCCTTGTATTTCTGCAACCGCCTTGCTGTTCCTAAGGCGAGTGAGGTAAAGAAGACGATTCTGTAAGAGGCACACAAATCGAGGTATGCTATTCATCCGGGAAGTACAAAGATGTACCAGGACCTAAAAAGACAGTATTGGTAGAGAGGCATGAAAAGAGACGTTCGTGAGTATGTCTCAGAATATGTGACTTGCCTCAGGATTAAAGCTGAGCATCGGAAGCCAGCGGGAGAGTTGCAACCTCTTCCTGTCCCTAGATGGAAATGGGAGCACATCACTATGGATTTTCTAATGGGGCTACCGAGAACTGAGTTGAAGCACGATGCCATCTGGGTGGTGGTGGACAGGTTGACGAAGTCCGCGCACTTCATACCGTTTTGTATGACGTATTCTCAGAGGATTTTGTCAGAATTGTACCTGGAGCACATCGTGAGGCTACACGGAGTGCCATTGTCTATCACGTCAGATCGTGACACGCGTTTTAATGCAAGGTATTGGAAGAGGTTCTAGGAAGCCATGGGAACAGACTTGAACTTCAGCACAGCATTTCATCCTCAGACTGATGGGCAATCTGAAAGGGTAATTCAGATTCTGGTGGATATTCTTCGTGCTTGTATTCTGGAATTTGGTGGGAACTGGAAGAAATACCTGCACCTAGCCAAGTTTGCTTATAACAACAACTATCATGCCAGTATTGGAATGGCACCATTTGAAGCTCTATATGGTCGTCCTTGTAGGTCACCTGTGTGTTGGTTGGAACCAGAGGATCGACTGAGCACTGGACCGGAAGTCATTCAAGAGAATAATGAGAAGATAGTTGTGATTCAAGAATGACTGTTGGCAGCTCAAAGCCGTCAAAAAAGCTATGTTGATAGAAGGCGTAGGCCTTTGGAATTCCAAGAAGGTGACTTTATTTTGCTGAAGGTTTCCCCACGCAAGGGAGTTGTTCGGTTTGGTGTGAGAGGGAAACTTGCACCAAGGTATGTGGGACCATTCCCGATCGTGCAACGAATCGGAGTAGTGGCGTATCGGTTAGTCTTACCGCCTGAATTATCTCACGTGCATGACGTGTTTCATGTCTCCATGCTTCGGAAATGTCAACCTGAGCCGAAAGCCGTAGTGCAGTGGTTTGATGTTCCGATACAGTATGACGCGTCGTACGAGTAGGCACTAGTTCAGATTCTCGACCGAAAAGTAAAGAGTCTGCGTCATCGTGAGATCCCGTTAGTGAAAGTGTTGTGGCAACACCATGGAATTGAATAAGCAACATGGGAGCTTGAAACATGATGCAGGAGCAGTATCCGCATCTGTTCACACTTTGAGGTAGGCTTTAATTTCGGGGATGAAATTGCCTAAGGGGGGTGGAGCTGTAACACCCTGAAGAATTAATTGAGATTAATTAAGGTAATTGAGATTATTAGTGTGCCTAATCTGGATTATTAATTGAGTTTAATTAATAAATGTTTCTGACACGTGTGAGTTTAAATAGTTCCAAGGTATTTAAATTATTCTCAGTAATTTATTTTAAACCAGAAGTGTGTATGGGCGCATTTCTGGACTGCTCTTAAAATATTGTACACATGTCATTTTCTTTTCTTTTTCCTTTTCTTTTCTTTTCTCTTTTCTTTTCTTTTCTCTCTTTCCTTTTTCCTTCCCGTGCATCTCTCTCTCACTCTCTCTCACTCTCCCGAGCACCTCTCTCTCTCTCGCTCTCTCTCTCATTTTTGTCCCAAATCAAATGGATCTTGAACCAAGGAAAGATTTAAAGAAGTTTTCAACGTCGAGAGAAGGATTCGAGGTAAGATTACTGAAAGAACCTCTCTTGAATCTCAAGTTTTTGAATTTCAAAACTTATTTTTGGTTCAAACTGGATTTTGATGGTTTTGAGTAAAACTATGGTAGAAATTGGAGATCTTGGGTTCTTTGGACTTGTTTTAGGACCTAGAACCCAGATCTAGTGGTTTCCCTTTGAAATATTTCGATTTGGGACTGAGATTTGCAGGTTTTGGACTGGTTTTCGCGAGCTTCTCTCGCGCAGCTGATTCCATCGGTCGACCGGATCACATGGAAACCGGTTTACCTATGTAGTCGACCGGATTGCAGGCTGACCGGTCGACCGGTTCGGTCGACCGGTGTGCACACTACCAGTCGACCGGTAGTGTTGCATTGCTCTGTCACCGGTCGACCGGTTGACATGGGGTTTGACCCTGTTTGGCATGAAATTATTGTTTTAACCCATGTTTTTGGGGAGAACCAAAATTAGCTTCATTTGGGAACTTGAAATAAATGGATTAGCATTGTTAATCCTTGATTTGAGATTGAAAACCCTTGGAATGATATTTTGAAACATGAAAATGAATTAGGGCACACTAATTGGAAACCTTGGTATCTAATTGAGATTTGGATTGCTTAATTAATCCTAAAGTGTTGTCTTGCATTAGTGATCGCTGCGGATTCAGACTGAAGGGGCTTGAGGAAGCGGAAGCCAGAAAAGGCAACACTAGTCCCAGGTTTGATAGTGCGAGGTAGGATTTCTATCCCTTTTTCCTTGTGAGCCTATTTTCAAAAGGATTTTGGCCTTGAAAATGTTTTGAAGAAAGGGATTGCCTTGTGAAAGAAAAACGCTTTGAAAACCATGGCTTGTTAGTCATGGAACCTCATGGCTTGTCCAGTCATGGGGCCCGTAGCTTGAGTAGTTCGTGGGGTCATATTAACGATTTCAAAATGTTAATGAATGATTTCGTAATAAAGAGATCTTGTGAATCGGTAAGAGAGTCTATTGCTGTAAGCCTAGATAGGATGCAGAGAGCGCATCCTCGGGGGCAGAACCTGAAACTCGGTCCGGGTAGGCGAGGCACTTGGTTAGGTAAGTAATTTGTACTAATTACTTGCTGAAGCCTGTAAAACGGTTATTTTCAGTTATATTTCCTTGAGAAAAAGGATGTGAGGTTTCGACTGTTCTGTCAGGACTGAATGTCTTATTTTATTTACTTATTCATTTATTTATTTCCTCGCTCACTTATTATTCATTTATTTATAACGTTTATTTTAAATTATATCATACTACGCCTTTCGCTCACGTTTTATGTTTTAAATGTATTAAACCCCTCTCAGGAGATTCTAGGAGCGGTGCACAGTAGCTGGATATTTGCTACGCAGCAGCTGAGTTGTGCTGCTGTTGGAATCAAGTGGGATTGTGGT